ACTTTTAACTGTATGGACTTCATTAGCTTGAGACTTTGAACAGCTAAGTGTAAGGTCTATGCCAACTGCTTTATTATTTTCACCTTTCTGGATTTCAGCCTTGTGTAAGTCTTCTGAGGACTGAGACCCATTCCCATCTTTATTGAGGTAAAATTCAATAAGTTTATCTTTCTCTAGCTCTTTCTTAGTGTCCAATGCAGTCTCCACCTTACCTGTTGGGGAACTGACACATTTGTTTACTTCTGGAATAACATCTTGCTTTTCACACAGCTCTAAGTCTAAGTCAGCTTTAGGTTCAACACTGTCCTTTTTTTCCAAGGAATCAACTGTCAAGTGCTCCTGGACTTCTGTAGTGGGTTTGGTTACCTGCTGCTTAGTTCTCCCCAAGTCCCTGGGGTCAGTCAGCAAGCCTTCCATTACTGAGATTTTCCTGTCCAATCCTCTATCCGTATGAGATGATGACTTTTCCAGCTCAATGAAGTCATCCTCTCCTTCCAAAATGGATTTTTCTTTGGTTTTTATGTCTGAACCTTTTTTTTCCCCAGAAGGCTCCTTGGCACATGGATCCGCAGCAGACTTTTCCAGATGTTCAGTGGCAGTCATGTTTTTGGGAATCTCCAGTGACTTTGATTTGATTGAACCTTTACTCTCAGATGACTGAAGAACTTCAAAATCAGAAGACTTTTCCTCACTGGAAGGCTTTATCTGTTTGGCACCCAGAGGAATGGATGGATCCCCATTCTGCTGCCTCCTTTCCTTGCTAAGGGATTTGAATTTGCTGAAAGGATTGATATCTTTCTCAGAGGACAGGTCTTCCCATTCTCCTGGCCTGTACAGAGGACAAAGATCCTTTGGTATGTCACTGTCAGGGAAAATGACGGATGTACATAGGATGTTAAAAGCAAAAAGGAAACAAAAAAAAAAAAAAGAAAATAAAAACTAAATAATATACCAACTTAAGCTCTGAAACTCAACAAAAAATTGCTTTCTCCAAAATAAACGTACTTCAGCAGAAATAAGTGACTTTAAAGAAAACTGATAAAAACGTGGAAAGGGTACTGAAATAAAATGAGTAAACCACTTGGCAGAATATGCCACATGAATGAAGCAATGGTACACATGCAACAACAACGTGCAGGTCATCAGAATTTCAATTAACATGATGTGTCATGTTGACTGAAGTCATCAGATGATTCAGTCAATGAGGCACGTATTTAGCTGCTGGAATTTCATTCATACCATACTAATATTGCTATTTCTCACACCTGAATAGTGAGTCAACCTCTACAGCCATCCATGCTTCCCTTACTCAGGACAAATGTATTTTTGAGGAGAAAGCAGATTGGACCCAAGTTGTACCCTGTTTGAACATGTGTTATGCAAAACAGTTAGCGGGCAACAGGGTTTGGGTTTTTTCCCTTTTATTTTTGTCTACTACTCAAGTGTACTGTTTGAATGTAGACTTCACAAAGATTTCTTTTTAAAACAGGACAATCATAAAACACTTCAAAATGAAAAATTCTTAAAAACTTAACAGCATACAACTTGAGCTCTTTGTTGCTGCTCTAAAGTCTGGGGTGAATGAGAATACCAGATTGTCATCACTTAAAAGTTACTAAGAAGTTATTAAATGCTCTAGTAATGAGTGCAACAAATATCTAGGAAGTTTTTATTGAAATTAGAAAACGGAGGGAAGCAGATGAATTTCACAGCTAAAAGTGGTTTTGCCTGTAAGGACAACACCTTGCTTAGAACAAACACATAAGCAGTGCCCAGAATGCCCATAAATGAAAGCAGCCGACCCCAGACAGTCTATTATGTGTTATCCGGTTCTCAAGTGGAAGTATTCCAACAGACTGGTATTTCTGTAAGTCCTGAAGATGAAAATTAAGGTGTTGTTATCTTCAAAAGCTTTAAATACTCCTCTCAGAACAGTCCTGGTAATAAAGCAAATGGTTCAGATCTAACCCTCTCACTTCCACCGAAATAACCCAAGTCAGTGGTCAGTGCAAGAGCCCAACCATGGCATGCCACCAATGCTTTTAATTACTGTTTTTTACTGGTCTCCTTTGCACTTTGGTTCTCATATTCATCACCCATTTCTCTTTAACTGCCACTGAAGTGTTCTAAAAAGAAAGGGGAAGAACAACACAAGTGAATCATTCCTTTCCTGGCACTTTCCTCCCCTTATTTGTCTTATTCTGCTGCATTAAAACTCTTCCCCTCCATTCCCCTCTCCTCCTTTTCCACGACCCTTACTGAAAATCTCTAAAAATAAGGTCAGGGAAGAACACTCCTTACGATGGCAATGCGTCTTTGATCTTCATGTGAGAGATGTCATTGTAGAGAGCTATGGAGACAACTTCCTCCATGGGGCAGATGAGACCATACTCTTCACAGCCATTCTCAATTACCAGAGGATCAGACTTATGTGGGTCAAACATGATATTGTTTGGAGTTACTATCATGACTCCTCCAACTACGCCCTAAAATAGGAGAAGGAAGAGTTAGCAAACCACGTGTAATCCACTTACCATTTGGCACTGGGTATTGGGCTACTATCCTAAAAAGAAAAACCTCTCTCCTGCCTGTTTATACCCTGTCGTGCAATATTTGCTAACAAAGCATTTCGGTTTCCAATTGCATCAAGTCAGACATTTTAAGGACAGTAAATTAAAAAATTGCTTAGTAACATCAAGGTTCCTGGCTGATAAGGAAGAAAATTCAAATTATTCATCTTTCACTGCTGGCTCCTACAAGCTAAAACCACATATTGTTAATCCATCTTGGACAAAATAGATTAGTGGATTAAAAAAGAGAAAAGTACCATTTTACTCTAGATTTTACTTACCATTTTACTCCAGATGCAGCTATCTTCATTTGATACATGAATTTATACACAAGCAGTACACCCGAAGTCAGTCTCACTCATAGAAATGTCAAGGTTACTACCCCAAACTACATTATAGGTCCCCTTGATCTGCTGTCCCATGCAAAAAACATCTTCTCCCTGATCTAGAGGCAGCTTCTACCACTGATTCAAGCACATTCTGCACAGCTGTGGAAGATGTTTAATTCTTCAAAACATGCTCTAGCCAAGGATTTGGCAAGAAGCTGCATGAGCAGCATTATTCAGCATTCAACTCATGGCAACGGACCATTTTCCAAGGTTTACACAGGAGAGTTCCAATGCCTTGCTCCTGCCCCCTCTCTTCCAGAGGAGTGACAAAACCCACCATATCAACTCAGAAGCTGTGGGTAAATCACAACATGTGACAAAGCAGAGCCACAGATCAACAGAAATGACCTACACTCTAGTTACTATTAATTATCCAAGGTCATCTGCAAGGCAAGGCAAGGCAAGGCAAGGCAAGGAAGGCTAAAAAACAGGCAGGTGAAGGACCACAAGCTTGGTTGGTTTGTTTATTATATCAGGGAGACGCCAAGCTGATGGCTTGGCACTGGCAAGTGAGTACCTGTGTGCCTGCTCCTTTGTAAAGCAAAATCTGTATGCATTTGTCATTTGCTTCTCCTGTATGATTCACCTACACATGCCTGGTTTGTGTTTGATGAAAGAATCAAAACCAAGTACAGAGCCTTCTCCCAGAGGTATGTAACTCTAGTTAGCCAGAGCAGCAATACATCAGTAGGCTGCACTTCCTACCCAGCCACTGCAGGAAGCAAGGCAACAAGGCATTTTAGCTACACTGGCAAAGAAGCCATCCCACTTTTGATTGCTCTCACCACAAATTACTTTTTCAGTCCTGCAGCCATAAAACTGGCTATCTGTATCCTCTGCATCTAGCAAACATCACACAGCGACAGCATTGCCCTAATTTACATGCGAGACATCAAGTAGTGCTCTACTCCTTTCTGCAACACAGCAGACTGAAAAATTGCAGAGTGGTTAAATGCAGCCTACATCCACTTGATGCAAAAAGAATTCAACAACTGTAAATGTAAACACATCCATCTTAGAAAAGTCAGGATTAAGGGAAAATGTGTTGTTGTGGTTTAACCTCAGCTAGCAACTAAGCACCATGCGGCCACTCGCTCCCTCCTCCCTGCACAGCCAGATGGGGAGGAGAATCAGAGGGAAAAGGAAAAGTAAAACTTGTGGATTGACATAAGCACAGTTTAGTAACTAAAATATAAGATTATAAGAATATTAGTAGTTAAAATGAATATAGCAAAAAGAGAAAGAGAAATAAAACCCAAGAAAAGACAAGTGATGGACAATGCAATTGCTCACCACCAGCTGACTGATGCCTGAGCACCAATTGCCCACCCCAAGCTGACTCCCCCCAGTTTACATACTGAGCACGACACCTGTGGTAGAGAATATCCTTCTGGCCAGTCCGGGTCAACTGTCCTGGCCATGCTCCCTCCCCAGCTTGTGCACCTGCTTGTGGGCAGAGCATGGGAAACTGAAAAACCCTTGACTTACAGTAAGCACTACTTGCTAACAACATCAGTATGTCATTAACATTATTCTTACACTAAATCCAAAACGCAGCACTGTACCACCTACTAGGAAGAAAATGAACTCTATCCCGTCTGAAACCAGGACATATGTTTAAACTACAATGGTTAGCATCTCCAGTGTTAATTCCAGCAAACCTGAAAAACCAAACATGCAGACTTCTAACTGAAACCAGAATCAACATAAGCAGATATAAAAAGCAGACAGTCCAAGAAGACAGTGTCTTGCAACCTTGAGGAGAAAAGAGAGCTAAAATATTGCCCAAGCTTTATGCCTCCTCTTCTAAAACAGCTGCTGTAAAAGCAGGACTGCAGTCCCAGTAGGAACAAGTATGTTACAAGAAGGCTTGCAAGAAAATGGAAGAAAAGGTTGTTCCATGCAATATTTATTTTTATTAGGGTTTGCATGACATTCGTTAGCAAGTGAAGAAACATCAAGGACTTATTTGGAAACACTGCTCTGGAAACAGTTAAAATTTAGCTTAAAGTCATAAATGAAATAGCATGTGCTTATTTTATAAAGTTGTTGCACAACTAGATGGAACTGGACAACTAATCCTCGCACGTCTTAAGTCTAAAGTGCCACTTTCTCTGTGTACCTAGCAATACACTCTTAAACAGATAATTCTGGTAAGGCACAGTAAAGGAACAAAGATGGGTGGAAAAGTTATTCTTTCATAATGCCATTAATCATAACAGATTAAACAACCAAAAGAAGAAAACGATACAGCGTACTACCACAGTACTAATAAACGCAGCAGTGATAGGCAAAAACACCATAACATTTACATTCTTTACAAATGTGAAGCACATCTGACTCCCCTAGGATTCACCTTACTTATCCAAACATGTTTTGCTTTTAAAGAATCTCAAAAAAGCCCAAAAACCAGGTTCCACCTACCTTACCATCTGTGAAGTAACGACAATTCATTTTTAAAAATTTGACAACCACAGGCTCATCCTCTTCTGAAGTAGAGGACAGGACTCTCTCTACTGGCTTGAAGGCCTTTCTTGCCAAATCAGCATCCTTAAGAAAGAAAAAGTTCAGTGCAGAGCAACAGGACCAGAGACATATACTTTTAGATTTTGGGCAACTAAAAAGCCAAGTTTAGCCAAATATTTTCCTTTTGCTTAAGGAAGAAAAGTGTTGGTCGTATGTGTATGTACATTCACCTCCTGCAATATTCTGTATGGAAGAAAAGCCTCATAACACTATGAAAAACCTCCACACAAGTAAGAGGCAAGAAATTAAAAAATGCCAAGGCAAATCAACTCACTGAATTTCAGTGAGGTATTCTCACTACGAGCAGGCCAGTTCTGCCACCTCATCTACACTGAAGACCAGTGCACTGTGTGGTTCCCCATGCAGGTGGCACAGAGGTGTAAGACTACGGTTAAACACAGTTATTCATTCCGGGCTTATCTCCACTTTCCTTTTTGTTAGTTACAGATTATAAATGTCTATTTGCTTTCACATCAGCAGATGGAATATTTTAAAGAGATGGTAAATTTTGTAGCACAGCAAATTAATGCTTCTCAGTACATTACCCACAGGGTCTGGACTGCAACCTCAAAAACCTGCTATTTACACAGCCTTGAAGCTCAGCTTCTCAGAATTAGAAACTATTTTATGAGTTTAAGACCAGTGAGCTAATGTTTGACTTACAGGTAGTTTATCATACTCGGCATCTGAGGATGAAGGAGAAACGGGAGCACCAGGACTGAAAGACGACCCCCTTGCAGTGCTTGTTTCTGGCACAAAGAGAATCTAAATACAAAACAGATACCAAAACAGCAAGACACAAGCTTTAACAAGTTATTCACTACAAATACTACATTCTAATAGAAAGACAACCCAATATTGATCACCTGTGATTGCAATGCACTCCTTACCACCTATCTATTCTAGTCCTCCTTCATAGGTGGTGATGGCAGGGCACATACAGGATCTAGCTACACATTTTGTTTTGCAGCACAAGCAAGAAAATAAAACATTTTCCATAGAATAAGAACCTTGTTTTCTTCCCCCAAATTTACAATCCCAGGTTGTCTCACAACTACTGCAAGTACAGAACAAGTAACTGTAAAATTACTATTATTAGTCATTACTTTGTAACAGCAAGCTCTGGTCCAAAAGAGAAAGCCATTGCTGAAGATGGGGGATCTTTAGTGGTAGAAGTGTATATGACTTCACTATATGTTGTCTGTTTCAAAAAAATATACTTGCATATCGAAATTTAAGAAAATATTCTTTATATGAATGAGCATTTTAGCACCATGCACTAAAAGAAAAAATGCCAAGAGTAATACAAGTGTATATAAAAATATAATGCTTTGTTCGAATTTTCACATTCCTTCAGAGTGAACACTGCAGATTTTTAGTACAGCAGTACAGCTTTGGACCTCCACCCCAAATTAAAACAGACTCATTTGTTGCAAATGTCAGAGCACAGGAAGATATTTCTAAAGTTAAAAAAAAAAAAAATGTTCAAAGTTCAGTTTTAAACTAAAAATGCTCAGAAAAATAAAATCATTTTCCTTATCCCAGCTTTTGCCTGCTGGGTATTCCTCAGCAAGTCACACCACCTCTTTGTACCTCAGTTTCCCCATCTGCAAATCAGGACACTTCAAACTCTTCTTGTCTGTGAAGCAGAAGTAGAGATCTGCTCTTCATGAATCAGGTGTTAGCCTTCACATTTGTGTTCCCATTTCCTGACTCTCCCCAAAACAGTCTATCTCCATGTATTTCTGATCTTACTGGAGACTCACTCATCTCCAACATAATGGCAAAGAGCCATTTCAATTACTGTATCTAACTCTCTAATTCTTTAATGTATTACATATAGCATTCATCTAGGCTTCCCAAAAACTCAGTTCTCTTGGAACAGTTACATAATGCTCTTGAATTTCAGAGTCATCTTCAAGCTTTAGTGATAGCAAATAAACAACAAAAGTCAGATCTGGCAATTACAAAGCTCCTCCCCCAGCTCTAGGTAATGATCTAGTGAGTTCCCCTTTGAAGGATTTAAATTACTGTCTATTATCCTTGTATCCAAGTACCTAAGAGATAAGTGAAAGTAGTAAAACTCTTTTAAATACATAGCAAATAATCAGGTTTCAGGTATTAAAAAAAAAAAAAAACCATAAAAGATTTACCTGGCCTGGCACAATTGTCTGTGTGAAAAGCTTATTGAGCTCCACAAGCTTGTTTGGGGTGATGTTAAACTTTAATGCTATGCTGTTTATGGTGTCGTGATTTCCAGCCTGAAAAAAGAGTCGAAGCTTAAGATACCATAATGAACTTTCAACATACCAACTGAACTAAAACCATCTAACAGACTGTTTGCAGGGAATAGATTTGACAATCTCAATACACGCTCTGTTTAACAGCTTACGTGATAAGCCAGTACCAATAAAAAGATATTCTCCCATACTATACAGTAGATAAAATGAAGAGGTGTTACAGATGTCCCTCTCCTATTCTCACAAAGCAGCACCACCTTATTTAGAACTGGTCTAGTGAGTGAGGGAAAGACACACGCTGGAAAGCTCATTACACCTTCAGTAGTTGCACCACATCAGGGATTTGTGCTGTTCCCAGCTGGGACACTCACTCTGCATGATATGGGGTGCAGTCCCCGTTCAGGCACCTTACCAGCTCACATGGAGACCTCCTGGGCAGAGCTACTCCTCTGAGCTGCTGTAGCAGCACACTGCTGCACTGATTTGGCTTGGAGAAAGAGCTCATATCATCTCAGGACCAAGCACAGGCCAACAACTTGATGACCTCTCGCCAAGGGGAGAGGCGTGAGGACAAGGCAGGGCCAGGCCCAGCCAAACCCACAGCCGGGGCCAGGAGCGGGAAGACGCTGCCCTCCTGGGGAGCCCTTTCCTGCAGTCCTAGCTGCAGCTCCGGAGGGAGGTCAGGGAGGAAAGGACGGGGAGCGGCAGCGCAGGGCTTCTGGCATTTGGGCTTTGCCGCGACCTTTGCTATTTCCAGAGAGCAAGAGGCCGACAGTAAAAACGAGGGTGAGGACTCGCCTGCCCCACTGCAATGTACACAGCAGTGTCCTGCTCCTGAGCCTCCTGCCAGCCCGCTTCCACAGCGAGACTGATGCTTGGAATTATTCTGGAATACTATTTCAGAATAAGAAAATGACTGCTCTACTAAAGAGCCGTGGTGCAGAAGTAAAAACAGGACTAGCAGCCGTGAGAAGAGGCAGAGGACCTGGGTTGAACAGTGGTTCAGGATGTGAACCTAGCTCTCCTCACAGAATGATATTTAGAGCAATCCCTACTGAGATAGGTACAAACAGCAGCCAGTATTCACTTGCTGCTTTCAGTTTTGTGCCACTGACTCCCTCTCGGCCTCAACAGCTCCACTTTCAAAAAGCAGACATGAACAAACCACACAGCAATACTTACAGTGTATTCTATGGTACCATGGGGTTTCTGAGAAACCATTTTTTTCTCTTTCTTTTCATTGGTTTTGTTTTGATTGTCATCTAAAGAGAAAAAAATATTCAAGTAATTGACTTTCAAGATGTTTGTCAATATGTTTTGAAGGAGATCTACAGGATGTGTGAATTTCAGCTGCGAACAGGAACAAGAGAACACATCAAAAATATCTATTAGGCCTTAAAATTGCACTGCAAGGCAAGCAAAACTTCAAGTACAGCAGGTTTAGTAACATTTGGGAACTCTGCAAGAGTAAGGTATACATAGTGCCCTGTCAATACAGCACTGCTCCCTTGTTTTTCTCCATGATTTCTACATTATTCAGCTGTTGGATGCAAGTACTTTGTGTAATGAGCTGCTATCAAGACTGAGGCAGAAAACAGCAGATGAACCTATTCATAGAATCATAAAGACTGGAAAAGACATCTAAGATCAGCAAGTCAAACCATCATCCCAACACGACCACAACCATTAAACCATAACCCCAAGTGCCACATCTACATGTTTTTTGACCAGCTCCAGGGATGGTGACTCCAGCACCCCCCCAAGGAAGCCTGTTCGAATGCCTCACCACTCTTTCAGGAAAGAAATTCTTCCAAATATCCAATCTAAACCTCCCCTGGTGCTTCTTAAGCCCATTTCCTCTTGTCCTATCGCTAGTAACCTGGGAGAAGAGACCAACATCCACCTCACTACAACCTCCTTTCAGGTGGCTGTAGAGAGCAATGAGGTCTACCCTCAGCCCCCTCTTCTTCGATACTGCATCGCTAAGACCACAACAAGTACTGGTCCATCACCACTTCAGCACCAACACGTTGTATTTAAGTACTATTTGAAACTCAGAAGGTAGAAGTATGCCAAGACTCCTGCAAAGCGCACGTCCATATGGAACACAGTCAAGCGTCAGAAGGCACAAAGCTTGCCCAGAAGACGTTTTCCACCAGCTGCAGTAGGCAGAACTCGGCTGCGCTTGCGGAAGCCCTTCAGGACCCGAGAGGCGCAGCCGAGCT